CACCGCATCTCGTGCTCCACTGATGACGCTCCCTGACGCACATCTAACATTGGATTGTACTATTTTTGCATTCAAATGCAAATGTTTATTTTAAATTCGACTAATATTCATACTTTACTCACAATCTCCTCACAGCCCTCATGTTCGTTTTTGTGTGTCCTGTCTGCGTCACTCATAGCACGTGCCTATATCGTGCACTATATCGAAGGTGTGCCGTCGATAAATATCGATACCGTTTTATCGCCCAGGCCTAATATGTCATAACAACGAACGCCTGACTGGAAGGTACGAGCTTCCCAGGTGCATTTGAAGGCACTGTATGTTCTGTGTATCAACCTGAACAGAAAAATATGAAAATGTTCAAAACTATTTGTTAAATGATGGTTCGATATTATGTTAAAATATATTACAAATAAGCAATAAAATCTGACAACAAAGCTATCCTACGTTCTGCTCCTTTATCTTTATTCTTTCAGGCTGTTCCACCAAACACGAAAGTACATTCTAGAATAAACACAGCTGATTGGCTCTTAAAACTGCAAGGGCTGCAAGGTAACGGTGCGTTTCCACTGGCACGTAGCGAGCGCAGCGGAGCGAGCGTTTTCAATTCATTCCTATGGAAGTTGAGCTTAAGTGCTCACACGGTGCATTATGGGATTGAAAGCGACCGGAAACATGGTCGCTTTAGTGTTGTAGCATTGCCAGTGGCACTGAGCGCAGATTTGACGCTGTAGTGGAAACGCACCGTAAGACTTGCATTTACAGTGTGTTTCCACTACAGCGTCAAATATGCGCTCAGTGCTGCTGGCAACGCTACAACGCCACTGCTTTGGGGTGTCAAATTTAGGGCAGAGCACGCCTCTAAAAACAATGTTAATGTTTACACCCTGTTTGCGATTCATCTTCTTCTTTTCACAGCGATTGGATGCCGCCCCTGTGTTTTTCGCTCGATATTTGCATAAAGTCGAGGAATGCCCAACCTTTTTGATGCTCTCGGCTGCTCTCAACTCTTTCTCTGTGCCACTTTCAATCCCATAATGTACCGCGTGAGCGTTTAAGCTCCACTTCCATAGGAATGAATTGAAAACGCTCGCTCCACTGCGCTCGCTACGTGCCAGTGGAAACGCACCGTTACAGTCTACAATTGTGATATGACAATTACGATTTTTCCCATACATTTTTGCAGGAAGTCCATTTCCTCCTCCTTTAACTGGGAGAAAGTCCAACATGCACTTGTTGGAAACAATGTAGACTGGCAATATTTTCAACATTGTCAATATGGGGCAAGAAATTAAAAAAAAAAGTTCAGAGACTGATAATCCCAAGGCCAGTGTTATGCAATATTTCAGAAACTGCAGAATCACCAGCAGTAGGATACTTTATCTTTATAGCTCAAAGAACATACAGTGCCGTGAAAAGGTTTTTGCCCCCTTCCTGTTTTTTTAAAAAAATGACCCTTATGTCTGGTTTTGTGGTCCAGGGTCACATATATTAACCTTTTCCTGTATGCATATCGTCATCCTAGTCACATAATGAGCAATCACTTATACATTTCAATGGGCAATATTTATGCTCGACTAAATCATTAAACGCTTCTATTAAGCCCTAAACACACTGCACAATTTTCGGCTGTCCCAGATGAAAGATTGATTGGCATCGTGAAACAATCGTGGCGATTTCTGTGATCGTGGCTCCTAATCGGTGGTCCTGTGTCGTACAGTGAGAGGTCCAAAGACGGCCGTAGTCACGGTCTTGCGACCAAAGATAGCCTACGATACAGCATGATCATCGCACCGTGTGTTTGCTGTTACGATCCACGTTTACTGACCAACCAATAAAAATGCGACATGAAATCAACGCGACATGGCGCTAAAACATAAAACTGCTTACCTC